CCCCATCTTCTTCTACACCTATTAGGTGTATTGCCACCACCTACTACCAAAGATGGTGGATAAATGAAGATAGTTCACTCAGGCCGTTTACCACTGAAAATATATGTCCGGTCAGCTTAATGGGTGACTCTCCCATAGACAGCAGCTGGCTCTGGTCTGCTTAGTTTATTGACTTCCATTGAACCACAAAACATAGGGAGTGGGATGTCTCACTTCCTCTTCTGTCTCTGCTACTTCTCTAGCCTTGAGTTTACAGGCCACTGGTATAGCCTTGTGGTTCAATTGGTAAAGCATGATGCCAGGGTTGTGGGTTTGATTCCCACCAGAGGACCAGTATGAAAAATGTTTGCACTAGCTACTGTAAGTCGTTCTGGATAAGAGATTCTGCTAAACTGTAATACCTTGAACCACTACCTGGGCAAAACCATTGCCTTAACGCACAGGGGTGAAACCTCCTTCAGGCCTAGTCTGTAGGACACAAAGTGTTAACCTTCTCTCCCTCTCCTCAGGTCAACCACAGGGTAAAGAGGGCAACCAGAAGATCAGGGACAAGTGCACACTGTACCTGGACAGAGTGGAAGAACTACAGGAGTATCTAGAAAAGAAAGAGGTTATTAGACGGTTGAACATTTTATAAATAATGTAGTCTAACGTGTAGGTCCAATGTATGCCTATGCCTACATCAGGTTAGTCTACTATTTATATTTTCCATGAATCTGACCGGCAACTCTGTCGTAAGGATAAAGCTAATAGGAGATGTGTACTATGCATTGTGCATATCCTTCACATGTCAACATGAATCATCCTTATCCGACCTACACATTTGACATTTCATCCCTCTACAATACAAGGTTGGATCCCAACCAACGATAAACCCCACTGAAGAAGAATACAAGATGGGTGCAAAGATACTGATAACTAACCCCTTTTGTCAATGAATGTCTTAAAGAGCAACTGCCCCTAAAAACCAACTTCTCATTTAGAAAACAGCCTATGCGGCATTGATACGAGTCAGAAAGATTTACTCTACTGACAAAATTGACTAGAAAGTGTAAATAGGATAATTTTGGTCAGAAACATTTAATCTACTGACAAAATGAACTACAAAGTGTAAATAGGATAATTTTGGTCATAAAGTAAATGTTGAGTTTTGTGAGACTAAATTAAGGTTGGATTTGTTTCAATCCAGCCCACAGCTGGCAGCACACAAGTAATCATCAATTCAGAGTGCAGCTTCACTGGACATAATCTTAATGCCTGTGGTAAATTTGGTTTAGCTTTGGATATCCCTATGGGACTAGTTAGGGACCATCGGTAAATTACACAATGTGCATGGGACAACCTCAAACCAACTATAAATTGTAGAAATTCATATACAACTATTGAAAGCATGTAATGAGAACTAAAAGGTGTGCAACATGGAAATATTGCCTCATTTACATTGTGTAATTTAGTGGCAATCCCTAACTAGACGCTCAGATAGGCAATCCAAAGTCAAACTAATTTTGCCAGGGGTGCACACCAGCCAGCTGAAGCTAATTGGAGAAATAACTTGTCTAACTCTTCCCACCTGTGAACACACACATCAAACCACCTCACGTTTGATGCCCGCTAGCATTTCTTAATGAACCTAATTTAAAGCAAGGCCAAATCTGGAAGTGCAGTCGTCCTTTAAGGGTTGTCACTGGCTCTATCTTTAAAAAATCATGAAAACAAAAAATTAGCCTTTTGGTCTTAATTTAGGGTTAGGCATAAGATTAGCAGTGTGGTTACGGTTAGGTTTATAATCAGATGTTAAGAAGAGAAATGTTAGAAATAGGTGGGGTTTAGCCATAATTATGACTTCGTGGCTGTGGTAACAGGACTGCGTTAAGTACGTTTTTACGTTCTGGGACGTTCAATTGAACGGAAACGGTGCTGTACTGAACGACCTTGAAAAACGGGGAGGAGTTGGGGAACGCTGTCAGAGAATTGGGTAGGCCGGAAGATGGCGGAAACGGAGGTTTTGTTTGAAACTGCTAGTTAGTCGAGTGAAGCTAATAGTACAGGAAGTGAGAATGAGTGGGTTATAGTGGCGAAGAAAAAGGGAAACGAGAAGTTAAGCTATGTTGGAAAATAGGAAACCACTAGACTCGTTTTTTGTCGGAGTCAGGGTTTTGGAACAATGCTACTTGGGAAATCCGTTTGTCTCCAGGAAAATCTGGAATGTGTTGGAGGAAAGTGTGGAGTCGGTGAGAGTCACAAGAAGTGGTCTTATCTTGATTTTTTTGTGTGTCTGCGGAGCAGAAGAAGCATGTTTTAAGACTCAAAAAGATATCGGAGTGAATGTTTCCTGCATGAATTTGTGTAGCAGGGCGCTTATCAAGGGTGTAATTTCTGGGGTGACGTAATAAATAAAGGCAGAGGATATAACTGAAGACATTTTTTTGTCATTTAGCAGACGCTCTTATCCAGAGCGACTTACAGTTAGTGAGTGCATACATGTTTCATACTGGCCCCCGTGGGAATCGAACCCACAACCCTGGCGTTGCAAACGCCATGCTCTACCAACTGAGCTACACGGGGCCCAAAGACCTCGATGGAGTGGTTGATGCACGTCGACTGACCTGTATGGTGGACGGAGAAAATACATTGACTTCATACATGCTACTGTTCTTTGATGAAGAGTCTCCCTTCTCATATAAAGTTTGGATTCATGACATACCCTGTAAAAGAGCTTTTGTGTACAAGCCCCTTCAGTGTCATGAATGTAAAATATTTGGTCGTGTGCAGAAGGGAAGAATATCGTATGCCAGATGACGGGAAATGTTGCAACTGTGGAGGTGAACATGCGCCTGAATTCTTGGAGTGCCCTGTTAGGGTGAAGGAGAATGAAGTGGCAAGGGTAAGGAGTGTCCAGCGTGTCTCCTATCTGGAGGCGGTGAGAAAGTGGGAAGGAACGAGTGGCGGGGAAGAAGCAATTGTAGTAGAGCCACCACGACCAGTGAAAGTTTCTCATCAACCGAGGAATAGTGAAATGCCACATGTTAAAAAGGTGGACTTTGCATTATTTATTGCAATGGTCATAAACTGAACAGCACAGGCGGAGAAGTCTAAGAAAATTGGAATCATTGAATGCCGCTGAACGTTTTTGGGGTCTTCCTGTTTTCACAGCCGAGGCCGTGCAAGAAATCCTGTCGGTGAATGTACCCCAATCACAGGCGTAGGGATGTATTTTGGAGTGGACTGTGATTGAAAAAGTGTAATGGGATTTCTTAGTTGACGTGTTTTATTTTGTATGATGTCGTTTTCCCCCTTTCCCTAAATGTTTTTTTGTTTTATTCAATACCCCGTCCAACTGGTGGCGGTAATGCACCATTAACATTAGATGCCAACCGCCATTAAACCCCCATCGAAGAAGAAGGAACGCTGTCAACATGGCCAATTCCCTTTAAATACGACACTCACTGCTTCAAGCCACACCCACCAAACATACCTCAAAGTATGTTCAATAACGTTTTGTGGAAACGTGTCGTTGCGCAATGTAACAAACGTTCAAGTGAACTGAACGCATCTCTGAGGACCAGTTACGTCATTTCGTGGTCGCGTGAGCATTCTACGGAAATCAAAATGGCTATATCGGGAAAATTCGTGCAAACAAACATTTGGTTTTGGTCTTCATTTAAGGTTGCAATGTGATTACGCTTCTTCTTTGAGTTTTATGGCGGACTACAACCCAAAAAGGTGTATTGCCGCCACCAACTGGACGGGTTGAAACCAAAACAAGGTAAAAAGAAAACCCATATGTAATAGGGAAACTAACTTATCCACCCAAATAAAAATAGTACATTGACAAAACAAAACTCCCACTTCTTCCAAATCTCCATATCTCCCTTCTCATGCTCTACGGCCTGAGAGGGTGGTATGGCTTGTGACAATATTCCATGTAACTCCTTCACTGAGAAATCTTTCAGCCCCAGGAAACTCTCCACCACATCCACAATGATTTATATCTTCCTGGACCTTCTCTCCACCTTGGCAGTGCCATTAATCACCATAGCTATAAAGGCCACAAAGTCCACCTTCTTAACCTTTAAAATGTCAGGATCCTACTGGTGAAAGGCAACCCCTGCAGCCTGCAGTGAAGGCATATCCACTACCATGGACTCCTCAGGTGCACCATTCAAACCCTCAACCATTTTAACAGCTGCTACATATGAAATGCTCTGGATAGCCCTGACTTTGGCCACATTCTCTTTCACCCTTGTGGGGCATTCGAAAGACATGGCTTCATGGTTCCCACCACAATTGCAACATGTCTCATGTTCATCACTTTTCTAACACAATTATATGATCTTTTCCACAACTTGGACATCTCGGCTTCTCCCTTCTGCAAACACTTGAAACATGACCTAAAGCTTTATAAATATTCTGACTCTGTAGTTAATATACTCTAACTGCACTTGAGTAGGGAGGGCCTCCATATCAAAAAACGAACTCTTCACTTTTTCTTCATTCACCATACGATTCATCCGATGTGCATCAATCACTCCAGGAATATTTTTCAACTCTTCAACATCGACTTCCCACAAGACACCAGATATATCCCCCTTGAGGGGTGCCATGTTCTTAAGAGACACTCATGACACTTCAAATGTATCAAATCGGGTGAGACACGTTTCTTCTGATCATCAGAAGCACAACAAATCTAAACAAGCCCGCCTCTGAAGGCTGTGATGATCATGACTCTACCCAGCACTCACCAAATGGATTCCTCAAGATTGGTAATTCGATAAACTGCTCCTCATTTAAAAACCGTTCTCCTACAATTTACTTAGTGACATTCTCATCACTACACTACTTTTCTCAGTTTTCCATTCTTTTGGACAATATTCCAATTCTCCTTGATTCTACCGCTATTAGATTCAGAATCCACTTCATCATCCGCTTCCGCCATCCTTTTCACCCAGCAACTTCCCCACTGTGTTTACGGTTAGGTTTAAAATCATATTTAAATAAGAAATTGTAGAAATAGGCGGGGTTTACGACTGTGGTAACTAGTGACGGCCCCGATGATGCGGATTTTGTTTGTTTCAGTGTTATTCAACGATCAGAAAAAGGAAAACAATATAGTTGATTTTAAGTTAAATAGCGACTGACGGCCTGTAATTGTAATAATTAACAAATACAAGGCCTGTTTTGACGCTGAATTATATTCGTAACGATTTTATTGACAAGTAATCAGCCCTTATGGCTGCCAACAAGAATTTAGAGGTAAGTTGGGAAAGCTGGGTACTGTAGCTAATTATCAACCCACCCAGTGTAGCTTGCTAACGTTCAATAGATACAGTGATTCATTTTTGGTTATGTTAGCTAGGTAATCAAATGTTCAACTTGCCGTTATACCAGTGTCGATGTGAGCTAGCTAGCTATCTGGCTACGGTAAAGTTATGCTAGCGTGTTAGGTAGCTAGCCTGCTGAATATATGTTTTGTTACTGCGAGCTTGCCAATTTGAGGACAGAACAGCAGTTAACATTAACATTAGTCACTCAAATTCTTTGAAGCCTGCGTAACTAGCTAGCTTACTTCAAATTGTTTGATTAACGTAAGCTTTTACCTGAAACTTGATCGCATGAACGTTTCCTAGAAGCTAGCTACAGTAGTTGACATGTTCATGTTGGTTTAAATGTGTACAATAATTTACCCCTTGCCTTGGGTTTTCGAGAGCTAGTGTCCCCCAAGCAAGGCCAAGACGATCTGAAATTTCAATAACAAGCAAGTACCGTGATAATGTAATCGACTAGTTAACTGTCTAACAAAACCTGTCGTGAACTGATTGTTGATAGCTAACTAATTGGATTAGCCTATTTGGTTCCCTGTCAGTCTAACTGTTTGTAGGAAGTGAAACTGCAGCAATGCATTTTGTGCAATTTTAGGTTTAGAGATGGGGGGAAGCAACTTTTTTTTAACAATGTTGTGGTTCGTTTCTAGCGTGTTACCTAGCTTATGCTAAGTTAGCTGGCTAGCCAGTTCAAATAATGACCAACATAACGTTAGCTGACAACGTCTTAACTTGAGCTAATTAGTATTAATTACAGGAAAAATAAACTCACAACAAGATAGTTATAAGTTAATGGCGAGTTAATTACAGAAAATAGCTTACGCTTGTGAGTGTGACGAAATAAAAAGCAGGGCATTCTACCGGAGAATTTTAGAAATTGGACACTCGTTTGCCTAACGTTATATCCTAATTTGACTTTGGTGCAGGTCATGTTGTTCTTCACATTACCGTCTCTGGTAAACATTTACATTTTAGTCATTTAGCAGACGCTCTTATCCAGAGCGACTTACAGTTAGTGAATGCATACATGTTTATTTTCTTATATATTTTTCTCATACTGGCCCCCCGTGGGAAACGAACCCACATCCCACACACTATTTGAAATAAAATCTGTTTATTTGTCACGCACAGGATACAGAAGCTGTAAACGGTAGTCTTGTTTAGATGTATCTAGCTAGCTATGCAATGAACCATAATCACAACTCATAACGTTAATACCATGCATGAATCTGCTGGCAGCTAAAACTAACCAACTAGGTTCAATGTTAGCTAGTTAGCTAACATTAGGCTATAACTAGCAATGCAAATAGCTCTGAAATACACATTTAATTACTACACAGATCATACACGTAACCGTAGCTAGCGAACCAGCCAACTAAATGTTAGCTAGCTAACAGTATGCTTTAACTTGCAATGAAAACGACTTTCTGACAAAATTAGAAACGTATAATATCTGAAAATGAAGCTAGCTAGACTCTCTTACACACATACATGGATGAACGCTTCTCCCTCTCTGTCACGGATGCCATGGTTGCCCTTAGTTTGAAGATGTTATCCGGAGACAGGTGTTTTATACAACAGCCTTTTGTGTGTTTTCTTTTCGACTCCCTCTTCAAATTTGCCATCAAACACCAGAATTTCCCCCATCTTCTCCTTAGCTATCATACTCTGCTTCAATCGGACATTCCACTGATTTCAAAACTTGGTCCTCCAGAAAGTGGAGAGCATCTTTCAAAAAAGCCAAGTTTGAAAGGATTACCTACACATGTTATAGACAGAAACGTGCATGGCAGACCAATCCGAACTCATCTCTCAGCATGTCCAGCCCAACCATTATCACCGCTAATCATGGCTAGTGGGAAGGTTCCTGTCTTTTTTCCCGTGGCTAAACCAACTAGGCTCGTAATTTTAACAATTGTAGTCGTATTTACGATGGCATACAAGTTTGTTATTAAGGCACAGGAAAATTGTTCCAGAAGGCATTTCTGCCAAAAAAACGCATTCAAATGCCTCTCCTGTGAAGTAGTGATGCGCGACATACGCCTAGTTTCCTGAAAGATATATATATATATATATACATACATACACACACACATACAGTGGGGGGAAAAAGTATTTAGTCAGCCACCAATTGTGCAAGTTCTCCCACTTAAAAAGATGAGAGAGGCCTGTAATTTTCATCATAGGTACACGTCAAATATGACAGACAAATTGAGGAGAAAAAATCCAGAAAATCACATTGTAGGATTTTTAATGAATTTATTTGCAAATTATGGTGGAAAATAAGTATTTGGTCACCTACAAACAAGCAAGATTTCTGGCTCTCACAGACCTGTAACTTCTTCTTTAAGAGGCTCCTCTGTCCTCCACTCGTTGGTGTGTACATGTCCAGGCCCGTCTGAAGTTTGCTAGAGTGCATTTGGATGATCCAGAAGAGGATTGGGAGAATGTCATATGGTCAGATGAAACCAAAATATAACTTTTTGGTAAAAACTCAACTCGTCGTGTTTGGAGGACAAAGAATGCTGAGTTGCATCCAAAGAACACCATACCTACTGTGAAGCATGGGGGTGGAAACATCATGCTTTGGGGCTGTTTTTCTGCAAAGGGACCAGGACGACTGATCCGTGTAAAGGAAAGAATGAATGGGGCCATGTATCGTGAGATTTTGAGTGAAAACCTCCTTCCATCAGCAAGGGCATTGAAGATGAAACGTGGCTGGGTCTTTCAGCATGACAATGATCCCAAACATACCGCCCGGGCAATGAAGGAGTGGCTTCGTAAGAAGCATTTCAAGGTCCTGGAGTGGCCTAGCCAGTCTCCAGATCTCAACCCCATAGAAAATCTTTGGAGGGAGTTGAAAGTCTGTGTTGCCCAGCGACAGCCCCAAAACATCACTGCTCTAGAGGAGATCTGCATGGAGGAATGGGCCAAAATACCAGCAACAGTGTGTGTGAACCTTGTGAAGACTTACAGAAAACGTTTGACCTGTGTCATTGCCAACAAAGGGTATATAACAAAGTATTGAGAAACTTTTGTTATTGACCAAATACTTATTTTCCACCATAATTTGCAAATAAATAAATTTAAAATCCTACAATGTGATTTTCAGGATTTTTTTTTCCTCATTTTGTCTGTCATAGTTGACGTGTACCTATGATGAAAATTACAGGCCTCTCTCATCTTTTTAAGTGGGAGAACTTGCACAATTGGTGGCTGACTAAATACTTTTTTCCCCCACTGTAGTATTTCCCCAAAAAGTATTTAGTCAGCCACCAATTGTGCAAGGATCTTCACCTTTTAAAGACGCTGTTTTGTCATTTATCCAGAAAGTAATCTATGGGGCCAGGAGAGACAGTCAGTCATCCATGGTTAAGATTTGTTTCAAAAGCCGATGCCGACTTGAGCTATCTTTAGCCAACAAAAAACGATTGAAGTGATGGGGGCAAGCTCACCATGCTAAAAAAAATTGTCGCAAAATCACAGGTAAGTAACTTCAAACCAGGGTTACTGTTAGCAGGTAATAGCCAGCTTTTTGCCCATTTTTAATTAAAAGCAAAGTAAAACTGGCGGCAGCCAATTGTCCAGGAGAAGAAAAATCACATAGAAAATATAATGCTTTTTAGCCTATTAATTGATAGAAATACTAGGCGATGTAAATGAAATTGACGGGTTAGTGGAATTAAATTGGCCCCTGTATTTTCATAGTTTATCACAGGCACAGCCTATGAGCGGAAAATCTGTCAGGACAGCTTCAGAGCTGCTGCTGCTACAGCTTCTCAAGTTAATTCCTTGCTGCTGGAGTGAATTGCTTTTATAAGCACAATCATTGCGTAACAATTATAATGTGTTTTAAAAACAGTTTTGATGGCCATGATTAAAAATAATTTTTTTATTTCTGAAGTGGTAATTGAAGCGTGCTTCCCCATTCTCCATTCAAGTGCATATAGGCACCTAACTGTAGGCAGGCTTCAGAGCGTCACACACCACTGACTTTGCAATGACGTGGAGGCAGTATGCGTTTTGAAAAAATATCCTTAATTGTTCGAAATCTTAACGTTTTACTTCATATTATGAGGCATGTCTTACCTTGCTTCAGAGTAAAATCCAACCATAGAAACATGGAGGCAATTATTTTATAAAGACTTCCATATGCCATTGAAACCAGTAGCCTATTTCTCTCATGTTCTATTAGTTTTCAAATCAACTTTATTTCATTGTCCAGTAGCCAAAGGCACAATCCTAGTCATATTAGCAACCCGTGCTAGTTGTTGCATCTTTCGATTTCCCCTCTTTCTAAATTTCTAACGGATGTTGTCATCTGTCACATGAAATCGCTCTCTGCCGTACGCTTTGACAATGGTGCTTTCCCGTTAATTGCATTATGGAACGAACATTCACGCGTAGCCTACTGCCTTGTGCGCATTGCTGCGCTTATAATGTGAAGAAATAATAGTTTATCAACATTTTAAGCTATACCTTCTTATTTGTTGCATCAGCCTCATTGCTTTTTAATGTTTATTTTTATTTTATGTAGCCTAGGCCTACTGGTTGTATGAATTTGGGATCTATCGTCTAACTAAATATGTTCTCTAATTCACGGGAAAATTTATCTGATAGGCTACATATTCACTCATTGGATGGCTCTCTCATTGAGCTGGTTCCCGCTAATAAATATCTGGGTATTTGGATTGATAAAGATATAACGTTTAAAAAATACATACTGATGAGCAAGTTAAAAAGCTAAGATTTAAAGTGGGCCTCCTTTTTTAGAAATAGATCTTGCCTCTACATGAACAGCAGGAAGCAGATTATGCAGTCAACTTTCCTGCCAGTTCTTGACTATGGTGACACCATTTACCAGAATGCAGCAGCCACTACTCTTAAACCATTGGATGCCATCTACAGCACCCTTCACTTTATTACAGGTCACAGTTTTAATACTCATCACTCATCACTGCATCCTGTATCAGAAAGTTGGCTGGACCTCACTAATGTCCTGTAGATCACTTAATTACTCGCTTCTTGTTTACAAAGCTCTGCTCCACAAGCTTCCAACATACCTCACTTCCCTGTTGAAATATAAAAATATGAGATACCAAACCCATTTGCAGGGTTGGTTAACTCTTGAGGTCCTTCTTGTCTCCACAACATTTGGTAAATCCGCCTTTAGTTTTAACGCACCACAGTTATAGAATACTTTACAAACAAATTACACCTGCAATCCCTGGTGCCCATAGGGCAGTTTAAAACGTTGTTAAATGAGTTTACTGAAGTGTGCAATTGTTTCAATTGACTATTATAACTTGTTGTAATAACCTGATGTAATGTATTTATAGCTGTCTTGTAGTTTTCATATTTTGGTTATGTTGATGGTATTTTTGTCCTCAGGGCACCATTGCAATTGAGACACTGGTCTCAATTGGGCTCCCCTCCCCCCCCAAAAAAACCTGTCCCAGAGTCTGTTTGAAATAGGCTATTTCTATCTTGCACAGAACAACATGCTGACCAATAGAATAGGCAGTGGTGGAAAAAGTACTCAATTGTCATACTTGAGTAAAAGTAAAGATACCTTAATAGAAAATGACTAAAGTGAAAGTCACCCAGTAAAATACTACTTGAGTAAAAGTATTTGGTTTTAAATATACTTAAGTATCAAAAGTAAATGGAATTGCTAAAATGTACTTAAGTATCAAAAGTAAAAGTATGTATAATTTCAAATTCCTTATATTAAGCAAAACAGACGGTATCATTTTCTTGTTTTTTAAATTTACGGCTAGCCAGGGGCACACCATCACTCAGACATAATTTACAAATGAAGCATTTGTGTTTAGTGAGTCCACCAGATCAGATGCAATAGGGATGACCAGACATGTTCTCTTGATAAGTGTGTGAATTGGACAATTTTCCTGTCAAAAATTACTTTTGGGTGTCAGGGAAAATGTATGGAGTAAAAAGTACATTATTTTCTTCAGGAATGTAGTGATGTAAAGTAAAGTAGTCAAAAATATAAATAGTAAACTACAGATACCCCAACAAACAACTTAAGTAGTACTTTACACCACTGAGAATATGTACACTTTCTACTATGTGGGATGTTAGGTTGACATAGGCTAGTGATTTTGCTGTTTGTTACTAATCTTGTTTGCTGAGTTAAAGTAAATGTGGCAGTTATTCTAACAGCCTTCAAAGTCAGCATTGAAATTTGGTAAGAAGGACGCATGCCGTTGCATATTCTGTTAAGATAAATGTGATTTCTGACATTACTGAGCACCGTGGGTGGACGTCCTAATCCGGTTACACACCCAATGCATGTGGGTCCGGAAAGTTTCTGAAATGCCGGTTATATTAAAATGCTGCCGGTCAAATATCCGACACCACATTTTCCTAACGGAAACCCTGCTTCAAACCTTGTCTTTGAGTTGATTTGGTCACGCAATTTTGTGAAGCTTGTCCCTATTCATAGTTTTTTGGTGAAGTTCGCTCAAGATAGCAGTGGCTTTTGAAACTAAACAAAACTGTGGATAACAATCTCTCCTGGCCGCATATACGTTTTTCAGAGTACATGGAAAATGGAAGTCTAAAAAAAGACATCCTTATAACATTTTATTTGGTCCTCTCAAAACACTAATTGAAACACCTTAGCTCTGGAACAACATTTAGTTTCATACCCTCAGTATTTGATAAAATGTTGTGCTCACAGGCCTTTTATCTGAATGAGCAGCCTGGTCTCAGACTAGAAATAACATAGTAAATGTAAATACTGGACAATCAAATTAGTATGATATGTAAAGTTTGGTATGATTTCATAACGCAAATGTCTAGCAATCCAAAGGCTGCAAGTTTGAATCTCATCACGGACAACTTTAGCATTTTAGCTAATTAGCAACTTTTCAACTACTTACTACTTTTTAGCAACTTTGCAACTACTTGGCATGTTAGCTAACCCTTCCCCTGACCCTAACCTTAATCCTTTTAGCTAACCATAACCCTTTAACCTAACTCCAAAACCTAACCCTAGCCGCTAGCCTAGCTAACGTTAGCCAGCTAGCTAGAATTTGTAACATATCATACATTTAGAAAATGTGTAACAGAATGTACATTTTGAAAATTGTTAACATTTATTACGAATTGTAATTAATAACATATCATACGAAATGTGTGATGGACATCCACAAATTAATACATACCATACGAAACGTAACATATCATACTAAATGGAGCGTCTCGGATTTACACTATATAAACAAAAGTATGTGGACACCTCTTCAAATTAGTGGATTCATCTATTTCAGCCACACACGTTGCTGACGGGTGTATAAAATCTATCACACAGCCATGCAATCTCCATAGACAAACATTGGCAGTAGAATGGCCTTACTGAAGAGCTCAGTGACTTTCGACGTGGCACCGTTACAGGATGCCACCTTTCCAACAAGTCAGTTCGTCACATTTCTGCCCTGCTAGAGCTGCCCCGGTGAACTGTAAGTGTTGTTATTGTGAAGTGGAAATGTCTAGGAGCATCAATGGCTTAGCCGGCGAAGTGGTAGGCCACACAAGCTCACAGAACGGGACCGCCGAGTGCTGAAGCACGTAAAAAATAATCTGTCCTTGGTTGCAACACTCACTACTGGGTTCCAAACTGCCTCTGGAAGCAACGTCAGCACGAGAATTGTTCGTCGGGAGCTTCGTGAAATGGGTTTCCATGGCTGAGCATCCATGGAAACCCAAATCACCATGTGCAATGCCAAGCGTCGGCTGGAGTGGTGTAAAGCTCGCCACCATTTGACTCTGGAGCAGTGGAAACGCGTTCTCTGGAGTGATGAATCACGCTTCACCATCTGGCAGTCCAATGGATTAATCTGGGTTTGGCGGATGCCAGGAGAACACTACCTGCTCCAATGCATAGTGCCAACTGTGAAGTTTGGTGGAGAAGGAATAATGGTCTGGGGCTGTTTTTCATGGTTCGGGCTAGGCCCCTTAGTTCCAGTGAAGGGAAATCTTAATGCTACAGCATACAATGACATTCTAGATGATTCTGTGCTTCCAACTTTGTGGCAACAGTTTGGGGAAGGCCCTTTCCTGTTTCAGCATGACAATGCCCCCATGCACAAAGCGAGGTCCATACAGAAATAGTTTTTCGAGATCTGTGTAGAAGAACTTGACTGGCATGCACAGAGCCCTGACCTCAACCCATTGAACACCTTTGGGATGAATTGGAACGCCGACTGCGAGCCAGGCCTAATCGCCCAACATCAGTGCCCGACCTCACTAATGCTCTTGTGACTGAATGGAAGCAAGTCCCCGCAGCAATGTTCCAACATCTAGTGGAAAGCCTTCCCAGAAGAGTGGAGGCTGTTATAGCAGCAAAGGGGGGACCAACTCCATATTAATGCCCATGATTTTGGAATGAGATGTTAGATGAGCAGGTGTCCACATACTTTTGGTCTTGTAGTGTACGTACAGAATTATTCGAAATGCTCTGAGACCAGGTTGGAAGGAGGAGTTCCTGGTTCCTAATTGAAGATGCATTTTGTGATGACATTGGTCAATCACCTTTGACAAGCACCTTTTTATTAGTGCTCTGATTGATAACCACTCTTTAGGGATGGTGAAAGCAAGAGACAGATGTGACAGGCCTTTACAGTACATTCCTCTGAATACTAAGTGTTTTCTGTATTATATTACTTGTATTACTATTATATTAAACGCTAGTGCCAAATTCATAGGAAGAAGATCACAATTGCGTTAAATTAATTTCCTCAGTCATTCTGTGCGGTTTTGGCACAGTCCCTTCCAACAAGTCCTGTGCGACTTGTGAGCATTGTAGAGGGAGACAAGACACATTTATGTTCCTGGGAGTCTTACCTTTCAGTTACGGGGTCATAATAGCTAATAGGCCAAACGTTCAAACGCTAGAGCCAAATTCATAGGTAGAAAATAAATGAAACATGCCACACTGGCTTTAGAAATCGCAGCCTGCCCGCCTGCTCAGAGGCGCCCGCATGGTCCTAAAGCATACCATCTGCTTTTTGTGTCGCAGTGCAATTATAAAACTGGGGGGGGGGGACAAAAATGCAATTTCTGAATGTCGGGGGGACATGTCGCCCCCCCGTCCCTAGTGAAAGTTGTGCCCCTGCATAGCTTTGAAGAGTCAATTAATTCTGATTGGCAAGATCAAACTTATCTTACAGCTTATCCTCTTTCAATTTGTTGCTTTCCTTATGTATTTGCTTTTTAATAACTTTCTCATTCCTGTTTTTCAGAAAGCCATAGATCTGGCCAGCAAGGCGGCCCAGGAGGATAAAGCTCAGAACTACGACAAGGCCCTGCGTCTATACCAACACGCTGTTCAGTACTTCCTACACGTAGTAAAATGTATGCTTTAAGACAATGAGATATTTGCATACTGCTCTTTCCTCTTTTAGAGTTGTAATAGTCTCTGGGTTGTTCTGTCCATTGATTTGTGTGGATTTGTTTATCACCCTAAAGGTCCTCTGTCCAGTGGCCATTTTTACTTGTTAGCAGAATGCATCATTTTTCCATTTAACACAGGCCAGGGGGGATTACTGTAATTGTGATTATTTTCTAAATAATAACAGATACTTGAGACAGTATTTAATACAATCCTTGCATTTGTCTCCTGCCAGATGAAGCCCAGGGTGACATGGCCAAACAGAGCATCAGGGCCAAGTGTGCTGAGTACCTTGACAGAGCAGAGACGCTCAAAGAATACCTGAAGAAGAAAGAGAAGGCTCCTCCCACCAAGCCTGTGAAGGAGTCCCAAGCTGACGACAAAGGGTGTGTGTGTGCGCAGTCTTTGTTCATGCAATGAGGATTGGCTATGAGTGTGTGTGTGTTGTCCAGAGTAATTAGTTGGATCAAAAACATCTGTTGTGGTTCTGTACACTCTTGTGCTCTTCAGCTTAATTAAGATGGATTATGATTGTGCAGGAATGAGAGCGATGAAGGAGACGACCCAGAAAAAAAGAAGTTTCAGAACCAACTTTCAGGTTAGTTGTATCACTGACATACGGTGTGAAATGTTTACTTTTGAATTGCATTACAACGCTCTGTCACAATTTTATAGTATGCCAAAGGTTATTTGGCTCAGTTTTGCTTTACTTTTACCTTATCCGGTTGAGTTGTCTAATAAATTCATTTATTATTAGGTTTTCACATGAATGTACAGTTGAAGTCGGAAGTTTACATACACTTAGGTTGGAGAAATTAAAACTTGTTTTTCGACCACTCCACAAATTTCTTGTTAACAAACGATAGTTTTGGCAAGTCGGTTAGGACATCTACTTTGTGCATGACACAAGTCATTTTTCCAACAATTGTTTACAGACAGATTATTTCACTGTATCACAATTCCAGTGGGTCAGAAGTTTACATACACTAAGTTGACTGTGCCTTTAAACAGCTTGGAAAATTCCAGAAAATGATGTCATGGCTTTAGAAGCTTCTGATAGGCTAATTTACATCATTTGAGTCAATTGGAGGTGTACCTGTGGATGTATTTCAAGGCCTACCTTCAAACTCAGTGCCTCTTTGCTTGATATCATGCAAATCAATCCCAGAACAACAGCAAAGGACCTTGTGAAGATGCTGGAGGAAACAGGTACAAAAGTATCTATATCCACAGTAAAACGAGTCCTATATCGACATAACCTGAAAGGCCGCTCAGCAAGGAACAAGCCACTGCTCCAAAACTACCATAAAAAAGCCAGACTACGGTTTGCAACTGCACATGGGGACAAAGATCGTACTTTTGGAGAAATGTCCTCTGGTCTGATGAAACAAAAATAGATCTGTTTGGCCATAATGACCATCGTTATGTTTGGAGGAAAAAGGGTGGGCTTTCAAGCCGAAGAACACCATCCCATCCGTGAAGCACGGGGGTGGCAGCATCATGCTGTGGGGGTGCTTTGCTGCAGGAGGGACTGGTGCACTTCACAAAATAGATGGCATCATGAGGAAGGAAAATTATGTGGATATATTGAAGCAACATCTCAAGACATCAGTCAGGAAGTTAAAGCTTGGTCGCAAATGGGTCTTCCAATTGGACAATGACCCCAAGCATACTTCCAAAGTTGTGGCAAAATGGCTTAAGGACAGCAAAGTCAAGGTATTGGAGTGGTCATCACAAAGCCCTGACCTCAATCCTATAGATACTTTGTGGGCAGAACTGAAAAAGCGTGTGCGAGCAAGGAGGCCTACAAACCTGACTCAGTTAAACCAGCTCTGTCAGGAGGAATGGGCCAAAATTCACCCAACTTATTGTGGGAAGCTTGTGGAAGGCTACCCGACACGTTTGACCCAAGTTAAACAATTTAAAGGCAAAGCTACCAAATACTAATTGAGTGTATGTAAACTTCTGACCCACTGGGAATGTGATGAAAGAAATAAAAGCTGAAATAAATCATTCTTTCTACTATTATTCTGACATTTCACATTCTTAAAATAAAGTGGTGATCCTAACTGACCTAAGACAGGGAATTTTTACTAGGATTACATTTCATGAATTGTGAAAAACTGAGTTTAAATGTATTTGGCTAAGGTGTATGTAAACTGTATCTGATCATTTTCCTTTTATGTGAAATTTTTTGTATGTTCCCATCATACTGGATTTTGTTTTTTAGGTGCCATCGTTATGGAAAAGCCAAACATCAAGTGGAATGATGTTGCCGGGTTAGAGGGAGCCAAGGAGGCCCTGAAAGAAGCTGTTATTTTGCCAATTAAATTCCCACATCTTTTCACAGGTAAGCAGTCTTACTTGCAAAAGAAAAGGAGAGCCGCACACTCCAGGAGCTCAAATGCAATAATTTAATAACGGAATAACGAGGGTATAATGATGAAGACAGCTTGTCTGTCGAAACGTTGGTTATTAGGTTATTAGATTATTGCATCTGAGCTCCTAGAGTGTGCAGCTCTCCTTTTATTTTTCAAGTGTTCTACTCCGTTAACCAGCACCTCGCCTAAATAGGTGTGCGTTTCATTCGCCTCCATAATAATGCAGTCTTACTGCCTCAGATCTCCAGAGAATTAATGATTAAGTCATATCAGAATGTATGAAAAACATGCTGAAACCTCCACTATTGGCTAATTTCTTTGGCCTTTTCTTTGGCCTTTTCTTTGGAAACTACTGAAAATAAATGAGTCCATCCAACGACATTGCATAGTATAGAATAAATTGATTATTACCGTTCATTCATTTGAAAATGAGAAACTTAGCCTATTTCTTCCTCATTGTTATTCACGACCACTCCCAAAGACAACATGTCTCTGTCTGTCAGGTAAAAGAACGCCATGGAGGGGGATCCTGCTCTTTGGTCCTCCTGGTACAGGAAAGTCCTACCTGGCTAAAGCTGTGGCCACAGAGGCAAACAACTCCACCTTCTTCTCCATCTCCTCCTCTGACCTGGTATCCAAGTGGCTGGGAGAGAGTGAAAAGTGAGATTTTACTCTTAATCCAGGGAAACATGGGGGATTATTTGTAGATATAAATCCAATGATGCGGTTTTAATGTTTCTAAATTAGGCCAAGATTAAGCCTAGTCCTGGACTAAAAAGCAAACTCGATAGAGATTATTTTCTCTACAAAAAATTTTTAGTCCTGGATTTAGGTTTAATCTGTGTCTGGGACACCAGCTCCACGTGTCTATTGGGGAAAAGCATCTGATCACCTTGATGTTTTTTCAATGCTCCTTTCTCTCCAGGTTGGTAAAGAACTTGTTCACCCTTGCACGGGAGCACAAACCCTCCATCATCTTCATAGATGAGATAGACTCACTGTGCGGCTCCAGGAGTGAGAACGAGAGTGAGGCAGCTCGCCGCATCAAGACAGAGTTTCTGGTTCAGATGCAGGGTGAGAGCCAGAAAACAATATGGAGATTATAGTGGACTATATTGGTGTTTTGGTCATATTAAGATAAATTGGTTTTGAAATGTTAATAAGATATTTTTCTATAGGGGTGGGGAATGACAACGATGGGGTACTGGTGCTAGGGGCCACCAACATTCCATGGACGTTGGACTCTGCCATCAGAAGACGGTAATGACACATTCTTACACTGGCTTAGCCTACCATCCCAGCTGTGTACCAAATAACTTGTCCTTTATGATTATTGACTGTGACACAACAGCCTTACAAATGTATGGTAACATGTACCACCCTGCTAGAACTCATTTGGGTAATAATAACGTGAAATCACTGAAGTTAGAAAGCTGTGACTCAGCAGCACTGCTTTTTATATTTTTGTTGCTGCTCAGAACTACCCTGTCAGGGATGTAGATGAGTATGTGTGATACATTTGGTACAACTTAAAGGCCCAGTGCAGTCAAAAACGTGATTTCCCAGTGTTTTTTATATATTTCCACACCTATGAGGTTGGAATAATACTGTGAAATTGTGACAATTATGATAATGCCCTTTTAGTGTAAGAGCTGTTTCAAAAGACTGCCTGAAATTTCAGCCTGTTTTGGTGGGATGGAGTTTTGGTGGTAAATAGTTGATACACCAATACAAATAAAAAGAGTTCCAAACCTCTCTGCCAATAACAGCTAGTTTTCAGTTTTCCACCTCCCCACTAGGGCTGTTGCAGTAACCATATTACAGCCACACCAGCAGTCATGACCATAGTAATATTCTACGTGACCTTTGAGCCATGGTCATTTTCTCTTATGCACTCTAGACATGTTAGTAGTACCCAACTCGCTAATCCAGGCTCTGTCGTAGCCGGCCGCGACCGGGAGACCCATGGGGCGGTGCACAATTGGCCCAGCGTCGTCCAGGGTAGGGGAGGGAATGGATGGCAGGGATGTAGCTCAGTTGGTAGAGCATGGCGTTTGCAACGCCAGGGTTGTTGGTTCGATTCCCACGGGGGGCCAGTATGAAAAATAAAAACAATTATGTATGCACTCACTAACTGTAAGTCGCTCTGGATAAGAGCGTCTGCAAAAAAAGAAAAGATCATTAGGTCGCTAATGGCCTAGTACTCAGGGCTCGATTGTCCCTCTAACCACTCTGACATCAATGCAAATGCCATCGAAAATCACATCACACAACACTTATCATCAAAACAGTATGCGCTTTTAAAACTCACCTCGCTGTGATTGATCGATTTGAAGAAAGAAGTTCAACAACAGGTTGAAACTGAGTGGAGAACATGGTCGTTGTGGATGTTTTTTCAAAGCCTAACACAACAAAATGGACAGTGCTTTCTAAGGTGATGATTACTTCAAAACACCCATGTGCATGTTCGAGCTTATGCATAGCATAGGCCTATACAGTATATGAGCCCAGGCCCCCCAAAAATAAAAAATCACCTGAATTAAAATAATGATTGTGCCGTTATACAATACATAGCCTACCACATATTACACATGGTAGAAAATATTTTATTTTTAAATGCAGATTTAAGATATAAACTCAGCAAAAAAAGAAACGTCCTCTCACTGTCAACTGCATTTATTTTCAGCAAACTTAACATGTGTAAATATTTGTATGAACATAAGATTCAACAACTGAGACATAAACTGAACAAGTTCCACAGACATGTGACTAACAGAAATTGAATAATGTGTCCCTGAACAAAGGGGGGGGGTCAAAATCAAAAGTAACAGTCAGTATCTGGTGTGACCACCAGCTGCATTAAGTACTGCAGTGCATCTCCTCCTCATGGACTGTACCAGATTTGCCTGTTCTTGCTGTGAGATGTTACCCCACTCTTCCACCAAGGCACCTGCAAGTTCCCGGACATTTCTGGGGGCAATGGCCCTAGCCCTCACCCTCCGATCCAACAGGTCCCAGACATGCTCAATGGGATTGAGATCCTGGCTCTTCGCTGGCCATGGCAGAACACTGACATTCCTGTCTTGCAGGAAATCACGCACAGAATGAGCAGTATGGCTGGTGGCATTGTCATGCTGGAGGGTCATGTCAGGATGAGCCTGCAGGAAGGGTTACCACATGAAGGAGGTGGGTGTCTTCCCTGTAACGCACAGCGTTGAGATTGCCTGCAATGACAACAAGCTCAGTCCGATGATGCTGTGACTCACCGCCCCAGACCATGACAGACCCTCCACCTCCAAATCAATCCTGCTCCAGAGTACAGGCCTCGGTGTAACGCTCATTCCTTCGACGATAAACACGAATCCGACCATCACCCCTGGTGAGACAAAACTGCAACTCGTCAGTGAAGAACACTTTTTGCCAGTCTGGTGAGGACCTGCCTTACAACAGGCCTACAAGCCCTCAGTCCAGCCTCTCTCAGCCTATTGCAGACAGTCTGAGCACTGATGGAGGGATTGTGCATTCCTGGTGTAACTTGGGCAGTTGTTGTTGCCATCCTGTACCTGTCCCGCAGGTGTGAGGTTTGGATGTACCGATCCTGTGCAGGTGTTGTTACACGTGGTCTGCCACTGTGAGGACGATCAGCTGTCCGTCCTGTCTCCCTGTAGCGCTGTCTTAGGCTTCTCACAGTACGCAATTTATTGCCCTGGCCACATCTGTAGTCCTCATGCCTCCTTGAAGCATGTCTAAGGCACGTTCACGCTGATGAGCAGGGACCCTGGGCATCTTTCTTTTGGTGTTTTTCAGAGTCAGTAGAAAGGCCTCTTTAGTGTCCTAAGTTTTCATAACTGTGACCTTAATTGCCTACCGTCTGTAAGCTGTTAGTGTCTTAACGACCGTTCCACAGGCGCATGTTCATTAATTGTTTATGGTTCATTGAACAAGCATGGAAAAGTGTTTAAACCCTTTACAATGAAGATCTGTGAAGTTATTTGGATTTTAACGAATTATCTTTGAAAGACAGGGTCCTGTAAAAGGGACGTTTCTTTTTTTGCTGAGTTTATTTGGTGCATAATTGGTCTAGCCTAAATTAAACAAATTCAGAGTTGGCCAACAATTATAGTGAATTTGTATTTGATTTTGAATAGCCTACTAATAGGGATTTTTTTTTTTTCATAATTAATAGGCTGACACATTACCTTTTTAGCTACAGAATATCTCACCACCATGCATTTCCATCTCCTCCCCTCTCTCCTTCATTCCTTTCTCCAGTGCACAGAGAGGGGCTGTCAACAGTTTAATGAAATATGTTTCATTGTGAAAACATGTTACTATTGATGTTCCCGAACAGATTTCACTTGGTTCCCCAAATTAAGCACTGGGTAGCTGCAGGAACAGGGTTGGAGAGCCCATGGCAGAGTTTGGGCAGAATATCACCTGTCCCGCTGTGAAATAACCGGAGTAGCCTACAAAGCATGAGTGAAACGAACCAGTGGGAAAGTGGCCTCCATTCGCTATAGTAGTGCATACATATGACAAGTACTTTTCCTCTTGCCCCTGTTCCTGCCCATTTGATAATTCTAAACTAATTTAACATATTGGTAAAGACTAGATTAAATTGAGAATAGTCTGATGGGTGAAAATATGATCACTTGATGAGAGAACAGCATGTGCAGCCTGAGCTTTTTTTGCGACTTTCTCAAATCATCAATAGCCTATAGTCGCATCATGCAGCCCATATATCTTTTGACCTCGAAGGCATTCTATGGTTTGAATCATTCACAACTGAAGTTGCCAAATAACTCTAAATCTAGTGTATTGGACCAGTTTCAAATTATCACTTTTACGCTCAACATAGCCACTTCATATGCGCACTTTCACTCTGGAATGGGAAAAATATCCTTTCTATTTTATTCAGCTAAGTTCTATTATATTCTTCTTACTGAACGCTGCCTGAGGAAAACTCTAGTAGTCGAAACGCGTTGCAGTTGTGCGTCCTGATGTATTTTGCTGACTGCTCCCATATCTATTATTTTGTAAATATATTCTGTTAATAGTTCACTTAAGTTTATTGCAACGTACTGGCCGCCTACTCGTCTTCTTTCTTTGGATTCTTCTTACTATAAAATCATATAATATAAAATAATGACATGGGACTTATAAGCATATCTTGTCTGCTAAATGAACACGCCTACAGCATGGCACATAGCCAGATAACATACAGTAGGCCAACTCATATTCTGTTCTTCTGAAATACATTTTCTTCATATCATAATATTTCTTTAGACCTGCCTAAAATAATGGATTTATTGTGATGGTGTATATCAGTCTTTTGCATGACAATAACTGGTTGACAAAATGTAATGACCACCAAAGCCCTACTCCGCACTCAGACCACTCCCAGACAGTCCTAGCAAAATTCTTGCTTGAGAAATTGCTCTTCGCTAAGGAGCAATTTGTTTATTTTTGATCATTTTAATTCAAAACAATCACAGTAAGGTACTTAGTTGTTACCCAGAAATGATTTGATATTGAGATAAAAACGACTCCATTTGAACTTTTAATTATCTCAGGTTTGAGAAGAGGATCTACATCCCCCTGCCAGAGGAACACGCCCGCACCTTCATGTTCAAGCTCCACCTGGGCGCCACCCCCACCAGCCTCAACGACTCTGACTTTGTCACCCTGGGAAAGAAGACAGGCGGGTACTCGGGGGCTGACGTCAGCGTCATCGTCAGAGACGCACTTATGCAGCCCGTCAGGAAAGTTCAATCAGCCACTCACTTCAAACGGGTACGTCTCCATAATGACAACCAGTGAACAACATCTGTGTATTCTTCAGTGTTAATCTTTATATCAAGCTATGCCCCTTTTCTATTGAGTTCTGTTATTTTTAACACAACGAATTGCATTTGTTATTGAAGGTACGAGGGCAATCGAGAGACAACCCCAACATCCTGGTAGATGACCTTTTGACCCCGTGCTCCCCGGGAGACCCGAACAGCATCGAGATGACATGGATGGAAGTACCTGGGGAAAAGCTATGTGAGCCAGTCGTTTGTATGGTGAGTGTGCAAAATTAAGTTATTAATACCTTATTAATATAATTCAGTCATCTGTTTTTCTGCCTCAATGGTAATATTTTTGGGAAAACAAGACTGTTGAATAACCCTTGATCATGTCTCTTTTTATTCTTTGCAGTCTGACATGCTGAGGTCCCTGTCCAGCACGAAGCCAACTGTCAACGATCAGGATTTGGACAAACTGAGAAAATTCACACAGGACTTTGGACAGGAGGGCTAAACAGGTCTTTTTTTTTTTTTTACCAAACCAAAGCAAATATTAGGATTGTATTAAAGTGTTCCTTCTCGCCACTCTCCCCTTCAGGCTCTGTTGGCTCATCAGAAGTGTGCCACATGACTGCTCTACTCATAGAAATATAATTACTAGAACGGACATCCCCATTTAAGTCAAATCTATTTCTATGGCTCTACTGAGCTTGTCTATTGGCCACACAAGGGGTTAAACAAAGACTGATATTTTCTTAGATGCCCCCCCATGTCCAAAGGATTACGGATCACTTCACTGCAAGATGTCTGAGGTAGACTTGATTGGTGGATGGAAAGCTGCATGGAAATTAAGAACATTGGTGTTACTCAGGCATATGTTCTGTGGAATCTGTTGAGCAGCACCTTGGGCCGAATCCTAACTTAAGTACAATGCTCAACTCAAACATTTGCATTTGTCATGCTTTGAAGTCAGTGGGAGTTTGATCTAGAAGTTTGTGTTACCGATACAAGCTTGTTAACCAAATTAAGATGCTGCTCATTGTGCAGAGTGCTTATCTAACTTCCCAAATAAATATCTAAGCTCAGTTTTCAAGTACCAGTTGCCATCAGTCAAATTGCACCTCACTTTTCAGTGTAAGCACCTATATACTCTACATATTTTTGTACACATAAGAGATTAAAATCATTTTATAGTAGATACGTTATGGAGATGTATGGCTCTTTGGTCTGGAGAGAATGAAATGTACAATGCATGCCATTTATACTTTCAAAGGCCTTTGTAGTCTCAAGGTGGTGTAAAAGACGTGTTTGGGTAGCTGATGTGCCGCAAATGTATGCATGTCTAGGGTTAGAAGAACTACTGACATAACAATCGGGATGGAAACTGCTTTGGGACAGATTTTATATGTACATTTTGGGGGTTTTCCCCTTAGAAGAAAGGCTACTCTGTGGTTTGTTCATTGTCATTCTGATTCAAACTGTCAGGATCACCAAAAGTACTGGACCAGAGACACTTTATAGTCTAGGATTCAATACTTTTCCCCCTGACCATAAACACCATGCATATTTCCCTGTTACTTCCCAACATGAACTACTGAAAAGAGATGGCTTACGGAGATCCAGTCACACTAACAGTGCTGAAGAAACAACAGGGCTGATACTTTGGTGTGAATTGAATTGTAGAGGTAGCCTGAAATTGACATTTTAGGCACAAAACAGCATCGTCCTTTTTGTTATGGCATTGGTGGAATGCAGCTCGCTTGAACTTACAATAATACCTTTTAAGATGTGGCAATGCACACCATGTGCCTTCTAAACAAGTTTAGGTAGCAAGATCATATACATGGTTCATTTAAAATCATGGAAGTTGATATCCAGAGAGACACAGCTATATTGTGTGTTTTGTCATCGTTGCTATGAAATGTAATATATTTCCACATTTCATGTAAACTCTCTTTTAGAGATTGTATTCTGAAGACAAATCTTTCAAGTGTTGGACATCTTTTGTGTGGTCTATTTACCTCACTTTACTGTAAAAGTGTAGCGAATGATACAGTATATGATGTCTGTATGTATCAGTGAGTGGAAAAGTCAGAATGTATCTGGTTTACATGCATATGTAAATAAAAGTAATATTGAGAACATTTGACTCATATTTTTTAAAACAAAGCGTTGTCTCATGGTCCAGGTTGAGGATTAAAATGAATCTTTACAAATGCCAATATCTCATTTCACAACATTGAGGGGATCTTAACTATCACCATTGCCAGGGGTATGTCGGTAGGATCAAATGTGTGCACCAACTATGAGGAAGTACACCATTGCATTTTGGGAAGTGTTGTCCTTAATCTGAGCAAACCTCAGTCAGATGACTGTTTGCTTCGTGGTTTAAAAACTACAAATTCCTAGAACGGTAGTCACATTGTCGCATCCGTTCAAAGTGCACGATACGATTTGTTTTGGTTCATGTTGCAGCTAGGCAGGAAAATATCGTAGATTCAAGGTCCACCACGGCATTTTATCTTGGAAGAAAGCCCACTGACACGCTGCCAAATATACTGCTAGAAAACTCCTCGCCACCCCTTTGACAAGCGCCAGCCCCTGCGATTCGATCCTACTGAGTCTAGAAGCTAACTGAACTGCCAGGTTCACCCATGTCCTCTGAGGAAGGATTGAGTTCAACGATCACGGATTGGCTTTTCTTCAGTTCCTGGTGGCTCCTTTTGCCTTTCATTATGCTTCTAGTCGTTGTTGCATTCATCGTTGCCTTCGTGTTGCTGTTGTACATGATATCCCCTTTGATTAGCCCCAAACCTCTCAAATTAAATGGGGCCCACGTCGTGGTAAGTGCTCATTGTCATAACTAGACAACGGTATCATATTCAGACTTGCTAGTTAGAAACAAGGTACTATGCTAGCTACGTTGCATTGCATAACCATTGCACGGTAGGTTTTATAGGGTGTTGCAGGTGAAGGTGTTTCGTAAGTAACGGTGCTTGTACGGAACCGATAGCTCATCTACAAGTATGACACGCCCACAATTAATTGACAGCTTGTAACATAGTTTACAATGTATCTTCGTTGGCAACATGTTGTAAGCTAAAAGTGAAAACTCTAGTATGGCAATAAGTAGGCCAGCCAGTCAATAACACTCAAGTTCATAGAAAGTATCATACATTGTAGCAGAAACACATGTACTAACTTGAAAAAAAGAAACATTCTAATGACCTACTGTATATACTGTAAGTTGGACTTTGACCCCAGGAGCCCATCCCTTGTATTTGACTTTAAAGGGAATGTCCCTCCTCTCTCACCTACCACCACCTTTCAACCCGCAGGTCACTGGAGGCTCCAGTGGAATAGGGAAAAGCATTGCTATGGAGTGCTACAGACAAGGAGCCTTCATCACGCTAGTGGCAAGAGACGAGGTGAGTAGAAATCCACTTCAAATCAACATCCTTGCAGGGCTCTACAGTGCAACCATTTTACTTGCATATGCACCTAAATATTTTGCTGTGTGACCTGGAACTTTTATTTAGGAGCACCAGTGCGCCTAGAAAAATTAAGGATTCTAGCTTTATTACCTCAAATAAAAAATGTTGTGCTCCTAATTTCTTGGTGTGTGTCTAAATTTCCCAACTTAGACGCACACGTGCTACTTATAAAAATAAAGGTCAGCGCATCACTCAGCCAGTATATTTATCAATCATTCAATATTTTTCTTTAGAGTAAATTGGTTCAAGCGAAAAAGGAAGTGGAGAAATGTGCGATTAATGACAAGCAGGTATGTATTACGTTGCTACAGTCCATGTTTTGGTACAATGTGTTTTTTTTTGCTTTTTGGGGGGATGCAAGCAAATTATTGAATGTTGACGCTGATCATCTCATTAGCAACTTACTTGAGCACTGACTGTTTTGGTATTCGTATTCCTCTTCCACTCAGGTGGTGCTCTGCATATCAGTTGACGTGTCCAAGGACTACGGACAGGTGGAAAGTGTGATTAAGCAGGTAAATCACAAGTGATAGGAATTCATATCATGGAAAAGGCCCGTAACTTTTTTATAATTCTCTGCAAGTGACAACATCCATATAATTTCATCCATCTAGTGCCAAGAGAAGCTTGGTCCGGTTGATATGCTGGTGAACTGTGCTGGGACGTCCTTCTCTGGGAAGTTTGAGGAGGTGGAGGTGGAGCGCTTCAGAGTAAGTACTGTAACTAATGAGGGGAATAGACTGACAGGTCTGGAAGGGAGAACGCAGAAACCCAACTCCTTACAGTGTGTGCCTCAGAAAACCTTGATGTTGTGCCAAAACTAACTAATTTGAAACTAACTCTGAATAGGCAATGAGACAAGATGTTAGATTCCCAGATTGAAGATTCATAGGGTTTGATGTCTGTCCAAGGTGGAACCAAGGGTTCAGCTTTCAGTTTAAAGAGGCAGCTAGTGAGCCAGAAGGTTAGATGAGATTGCAGTCTAGGTCTGCAGCAGATTTGATTGCAGTGGAAGAATGAGAGAGGTTTAATTCCAGGCTGAAGAGGTGGCTGGTTTCTTCACTCTCTCTGACAGTGAAGGGATTGTACCGATACCGAAATAATAATGACCCAGGGAAAATTAGATTGTGTGTACGTGTCACGAGTGTGTGTGCATGAAGTGGTTATACCGATACTAAGATAATAATAATGACCAATGGAAAATTAGATTGTGTGTGTGTTCCCCACATCCTAATGTATTTAATGAGCTTCATTAGATTTCCTGGAGGGAGCTTGGCTCTGCTGGTGCTGCTAGCTAGTTCCTTCTCATCCTGACATTCCACTGCTGGTCACATGCCTCGTTAAGGGTCTGAAGTCATTAGACCTCACCCCAGAGAAATGCTATAACCATGGAAACTACACAGAAATATCATAACAATATCATAACACATACCATGTTTTTTCTCAAGTGAATACTATTGATAATATGTGTATTACTCAGCCTATGAGTAATAATAAACCTTTTATTAATAATAATACATCATTCATTACTTTTTGTGCTCCTTCCGTTGGCAATAACAGAGTCTGATGGAGGTGAACTACCTGGGCAGTGTGTATCCCACACGGGCTGTAATCACCACTATGAAGGAGCGGAGGATGGGACGCATCATGTTTATCTCCTCCCAGGCTGGCCAGATCGGCCTGTTCGGCTACACAGCCTACTCTCCATCCAAATTTGCCCTGCGTGGGCTGGCTGAGTCCCTGCAGATGGAGGTTAGTAGTATACTATAGTTCCTTTTCCTACCCACATTGGGGGCCAATAGGTCAAATATTCTACATAACATTTGAATAAGTCTCTTTAAGGCTGAATGCACTCTTTCCTGCAGATGAAGCCATATAATATTTATGTGACAGTGGCCTACCCCCCTGACACGGACACTCCAGGACTAGCAGAGGAGAATAGGACCAAGGTGAGTCTCCTCATGAAAAAGGGGAAAGTGTAAATTCTCTCAAATTTTGTCTTTTACTCTGACGCCTCAAGTTATATTTTGTCTCTTCGTCCTTCCATAGCCTTTAGAGACTAGGCTGATCTCTGAGACATCTGGGGTGACCCAGCCGGAGCAGGTGGCTAAGATCATTGTCAAGGATGCAGTGGTAAGACACTGCATTCTCAGCAACTGTCACTATGAAATTCACTCCGCCTCAGGCCAACACAAAAACCTTTATCAGTAAATACCTTCCAGTCAGGAACATAGAGAGAATTGCTCTCTAAAAGTGTGATAAAGCAGTTTTTCTGACAGTCATATATTTGTGCCCCCCCACAGCAGGGGAACTTTAACAGCTCTGTTGGGCCTGACGGCTACATGCTCTCAGCTCTCACCTGTGGAATGTCACCTGTCACCTCCATCACAGAGGGCCTCCAGCAGGTAACTACAGGACAGGAAAAGCACTGTCACTGTCCCACTACAACACACCCCAAATATTACTATTTTGGTAAACATGTGTTAACTGGACCTTTAACTATCAACTTAACAAAGCCATTTAGTATCTATTACACATCTATTGTAACCATAGAGATTGAATTGTCATATTTCTATGATTATAACATAATAATAGATTGTCCCAAAACGATCTGTTACTGTCACTAACTCTGGTGATAGTGAATAGGGCCCATATTGTTAATGTGACCTCTGTTTGACCTCTGTGCAGATTGTAACCATGGGGCTGTTCCGGACCATTGCTCTGTTCTACCTGGGGAGTTTCGACAGCATTGTGCGTCGCTGTATGATCCAGAGGGAGCAGGCCAAAGCAGCGGACAAGAGGGAGTAACACCCCCCCCCCCCCCCCCCCCCCCCCCCCCCCCCCCCCTCCATCCTCCACTACTCCACTAGTCATATCCACTGGAGAACTCACCCCAGCCACCCCTCCTCTCCCCTCCCCTACTTCCCGTAGAGGGCACAACCCTGGATAGGCTAAATGTCCAGATATCTCGTGTGCCAGTGATAATATCTAAGTACAGAAAAAGGCGGGTGTCCTGTTACCTATTATGTAACGCATTACATTCTTGGCAGCCATTTTATTTGTCAACCTTTTTTCATCATTCCAGTGATATTGTTTACTCAAGTGCTCTGTGAAATGTTTTAATTGTAACTGTACACCTGCTTTTATTGTTAAGGCTGCTTTACCCAAGGGTCTATGAGGGCAGACTTAACAACACTACTAGCTTGCTGTTAAAGTAGGCCTTGTCAACACCTGAAACTTTAGCCTATGTTTGGGCCATCCTATCCTCCTATTTTTTTTCCATGCAGAGAGGAAAGTAAGGGATTGCCAGTCTGACTGGTTATGTCAGCATGTTGACCTGCAATCCCTTCCCAAGAATCAGAGGAAACAAGAACACTAACTAACCATGTGTCATACAGACCATTTTGAGTAAGCTTTCTTTATCACATCAAATTACTGTTATTTTCTCCAAATGTGTTCCTCCTTCCTTCCCAAGCTTTGAAGGCAACGCTTCTCCTCTCTTCCTCCATGTGTTGTCTATGTAGAGTGGTGTATTGGCCCGTGCTGTGGATACATTAACGGAGCTTAGATGTGATTTAACATTACTTAACAGTGATTAGAGAGGGCAAAGCAAAAATGTAATTTGCTTCACGGAAATGATAATCCAAGGCATTTTTTGGTAAAGAGATTGTATGTGCAAGTACGAGAGAATGTGTGTGTGCGCTGTGTAGGAGCCGTGTGAAGAAGCAGAGGGGAGAGATTTTAATGCAGCGTTGTTACAATGTGTTTAAATGACTGTACACTGACCAAGCCTACTCCAGGGAGAGAGAGAAGCCATTGGACCCTCGTGGTAGCTGGGAAAAAGAAAAACCTGTTTTCCTCTTATTTGCATGTCACTTTCACATCTTATTTGTGTTTCTTACCCGAGGTAGAAGCAGCATGTAAAAGGTGGGCATGGGACAGTCGTACGATGTAGTATGAGAAAAATCCACTAACAGCTGATGCCAGCCTCATTCACTCTTTCCTGTCTTCCTATGACATCTTTGAGGGATCTTATCAGTTGTTGATCTCTGTATGTGTGATCTGTGCATATATTTTGCCACCGTAGGATCCAAGTGGGGTCCGTGATTAAGTTGATGGGGTGGTGTCTGGACAAGGCGTGGGGTGTGACTCGCAGGTTCGAGCATAGTCCCTTTAGGCCTAGAGAGGGCGCTAGAGCTCTATTTTAAATAGAGGCTGAGAGATTAAGAGGGACTGGCAAACTCAGTCTGCAGAGCAACATAAAGGAGCTTTGTGTGCTATTGTATTGTCTAATTTTACATTTCATGCACAGTCAGTGTGGACGTTATCCTATACTCTCCTAACGGAGTGTCATTTGTCTCAGTAAATATTCACAGTTCCTTCCTGAAGTCCTCAATATCCAAGCCTTTTAAACATCCCGTATTTACATTACCTTCTCAACATTCTGCTTAATGGAGAGAGAAAAAAGAAAATGTGAACTCATGCAAGTCTTCCTTACATCCATCAACTGTGGGGAGAATGTTTTAATGCAAACCATAGGCTACGAATCAGAAAGGATACATTCTTTTTTGAAAATCCACCAATATTTGAATGCCAAAATGTATTAAGAGAATTTCTGTCAATGCAATGCAACTATTTTAGATTTAGTTTGTTTGATGTTGCTGCTGTATCCTAGAAATAGTTTGTAGTGCAGTCAAGCACTATAATTGTGGGGACCCATTCCAAGCCTTAAGAGAGAACTACGAATTATGTTAATGCTAAAATAATGGAATTTATTCACAGAAAATAACGTGGCTTATGCCACTTGTGGGTTACCAGTTAATTCAATTTTTCTGTGAAAATGCCAACTATTTTGGTGTATTTTGTTTGTCAATTCCAGTTTAGTTTTTGTACAAAAAGGCCTTACTCAAACCCAAAATATGAAAGTGAGAATGGGATGATGCAACTCTGAGGTTCTCATTTGACATTGGTTCAAGGCACACTGTCACGGTCCAGCACTTAGTATGTCGATACCTGTCATTTTCTCATCTGTACATTATTAGCTTTCACTCACTGTCATCTTTAGGTAGCAACACATATATGTTGAAGTTTATAGACATTTGATATAATATGTAGCTCATGGAAAAAGCTATTTTGTTTGAACACATTTTAAGCTATTAAAATCAAGCCTATGCTTATAATATGTTAAAACACTACCATTGTTAAAATGCTCAGTCACGCTCTAGTTTTCCCATTCGTTGGTGTTGTCCAGAGATATTCAAAAGAAGATTATAAAATGTTTAAGTACAGTGCTAATGAATATTATCATGATCCATTCTGCTTCTGTTCCTACCTTATTGGTTGTGTTTCGTTCTGTTTTGTTTTGGCCAAATGTGTACGAATTTCACCTTGTGTGCCATTGAAATGAAAAATGTAAGGAGTAGAACAATGTTGCTTTGTCTTATTTTCTTACATGATAAAACTAAATAAATAACTTTGGAAAATGACATTTTCTCTGCTTAATGCCCTCTTTATGTTTTTGCCTGCTCTCAGTACTGTTGATACAGGCCTTTAAAACACAACAATGGTCAGTGAGGGGGGGGGGGTACTGTTGGTGGATGTTAGGTTTTACGTGTTCTGTTTGAGTAGTGGACTTTCATCTTCCATGATGGGAACAGAACAGCCTTCCATGACAGGAACAGAACAGCCTGGGCAGACAGTAGCTATAGTATAGCTCCCTCAGATCAGCAGGAAGATTGCATGGGGATTTAGAGGATGCGTTGCTCTGTCAGAGAATGTGTAGATATAGGCAGGTAGAGAGACTGAGCGAGAGATACACAGACACACTGGAAGAGAGCGAAAAACATAGAGAACATAAAAATATACTGTACGTCCACCAATGAGATGGATGGATGTCCATAAGTGTGCTAGATCAAAGCAGTCCCCTTACAGGGAATTAGAATGGTGTAGTCCTGTCTAGTAAGGGCTCAGCAATTATTAATCAGGCTTCAGAAAACAAGCTTGAAACTTCTAATTCTTAAAATAAAGCAAGGTTCACCCATTTCTACAACTTGATCCGAATTGATAGGCTACTGTCCATAATAGTTGAAATGGCTATTCACCATGATATTTCGAGCCATAAAATATTGGGGAAATGTTAGGGTTATAGCAACATTTTATGCATTAGATAATAATTTAATTTCAAAATCCTATCATGCCTATCATGGTATCAATTTCTCTACAGATCAAACGTAACCAAATAGGAAGGACACATACGCCTACTTGGAGAGTCTCCAAAAGGGATAACTTTGTATGGGTGACGTAAGAAATACCTCACCAGCAAAGCAGCAAAGAATGTTCAACCAACCCACAGTGTGTAGCTGGAACACAGGCAGTAATTTTATTGTGGGATACAGTCTTCACTGCACAGTCCCTCAAAACGTCTCTCCGTACGCGTAAAACGGCGCTAGAATAGTTTGCGGTATCATATTCTGGATCCATGCGACGTTGACCTTCTTATGTGGTTTTTCGGTCATGTATTTGTTTGTAGTGTAGGCTACATTATGTGCATTTCGAGAATATTTTAATCTCTTCCGTATTTCTGTCTGTCTGAATTTTGGAATCTACAGATAACTGTCGCCACTTTTTCATCAAGGCTTCGAAGATTTCCATTTGAGAGCACAATTGGGTACATTTTTGATATTCTTACGTGGATATACTTTGACTTTTTCACGGTTTGAGCCTAGTTGGGTGAAGGGGCCGTTTTTCAAGCCACACACATCGCTCCCCGTTCCAGTGTTTCGTTCTGCACGGTTCGAGAGTATCCTGAAAACTTGACCAGAGCATTTTCTCAGAAATACACTTTTCGTTTGATCTGATGTATTGCGCGGTGCAGTGCATGTTTATAAATAAGATGTATTATTCTTAAAAACTAGGATTGTGGAGGTCATTATCAGTGCCAATCATAATGGCAAACGACGACAACCGCTTTATAGTGGAAAAGTACATTTGTCACAAACTCTTGAAACGGGGATATGCGTGGGATTTCGAGGATGCCGAGGATGAGGAAGATGCTACTCATAATGGATCCATGATTTCTCCTCCGCCTGGTTTGGCACGGCGGTGCCACGGGGCCAATAACGCCGGACCGGGCAGCGTCCCCCATCTTTCCAAACGTCTCTCCCAACCGGACTCGCATGCAGCTATTCACAGAGTTTTGCGTGAGGCCGGGGATGAACTCGAAAGACTGTACCAGCCCGACTTTGCGGAGATGTCACACCAATTGTATCTCACGTCTTCCATGGCAGAGAGGAGATTCAGAGAGGTGATAGACGAGCTGTTCAGGGACGGGGTTAACTGGGGACGAATTATCGCCTTCTTCGAGTTCGGGGGCACAATATGTGTGGAATGCGTGAACAAGGAAATGACGTCGCAGGTTGACCACATCGCCGGGTGGATGACAGAGTATCTAAATGGACCACTGCACAGCTGGATTCAAGAGAACGGGGGATGGGTAGGTGTAATCTCTGCTTTGAATTGCCTGATATCACGAAGGCTAGGCTACATTACGCATGATGCAGTGGGAATGTCTGGATATTAACGAAATCATATTTGAGTGTTCCTGATTTGATGTTCATGCTGTTTGTCTAGTATGTCTGGCCAATAAGATATTACAGTCCCTGTCACACCTCCCCACGCTCTAAAGCCCGCCTCACTCGACTGTAGCTGACTGTAGCCATCAGTCGCAGAACACCTTCCAAATATTGAGTTGCACCCCCCATTTTGCCCTCAGAACGGCTTTAATTTCGTCGGGGCATGGACTCTATAAGGTGTCGAAAGCGTTCCACAGGGATGCTGGCCCATGTCGACTCCAATGCTTCCCACAATTGTGTCAAATTGGCTGGATGG